CCGAGCCCGCGCCGCTCTCGGGCCGCGCCTCAGACACCCGAGGGCGGCCCTCCAGGCCACGCCCCCTCCGGGAAGCCGAGAGGCGGCGGCCAGAGCGGCCGCACGGACGTCATCTTAGGTGAGGGCAGAGAGGTGGGCCACGCTGCGAGGCCTGCTCTTGAGACGGACGCACTACGAATTCGCTCGGCCGCCAGCGTCTGCGGCTCCCCCGAGAGCTACTTCGCTTTCACGGTTAAGGGTGGCGCATCCCGGCTTAGTAGCGGTCGCCGCTGTTTGCAACTTTTTCTTGCCAGGATCCAAAATGTCAGCCTGCGTGGACGAGGACGCTCCGGCTCCGCGCCTCTATGGTTATAGTTCGCGCATGCGCCGCAGAGACGCGTGCCCGGGGTCGGGATTGATTTGAAAAACCGGAGGGCGGGGCTGGTTCCCGCCCGGGTCCTGCGGCGCGGCGGCGCGGCCGGGCTCTCCGGCCCGGTGCTCCCGATCCTGAAGGTTTTCCTAGACTCCCCTTCTTCCATCTGCATTTAAGGCAAGGGTCCCCCGACCGTGGCGAAGGCCCTGGCGCCAGCCTTTGCTCTCTCGGATCTCCCCTTCCAGCTCTGCCCAGAGACGCAGCCAGGCCCCGCCCGGGCACCGCAGCCCCCGGAAGCCTCCCTGCCCGCCGCGGATGCTGGTGCTGGTGTTGACTTTCTCGTACACCGGTCTCCCTCGGATAGGCCAATGGATGAGACTCTCGGTCCCAAGCTCCTGGTGGGGTCGGAGGTGGAGTCCCGTGGTCTGGTAGGCCGCCGTCTCAGGATTGCTCAGGTGGGGGTCCTGGGCCTTGACACCTGGCCAGTGGTCCGCTCCTTCCTGGATACTTCCGAAGAGACTGGTGCAGGACAAAGACACAGGAACAAAATGAAGGAGTCTAGGAGACCTAGGCTTCATCTTGCTCCTGGGCCCAGCGAAAGCGTTTTTAAGCACCCTTCCCCTTTGCCCCTCAGATCTCAGCCTCCGGAGTAGCTAGGATTACAGGCGTGAGCCACCTGGGCCCAGCCACGTTGCTTAATGTGACGGTTTCATGAAACGCCCGCCCGTGGTGGACACTGTGGAACATCTGCTCCAAGCACCCAGGTGGCTCCCAAAGCAAAAAGCTACGGGACAGTGCAAAGCTTCGGGAGGATTCTGACAGTACAGCAGCCCCGATGTAGCTTGGAAGGCAGTAGGCGCCCAGTGTGTGCTTTGGATCCACAAGGATCCCACATCTTAGCCCTGGGAGGCATGCCTCATCCCCTAGAGGACAAGAGCACTCACTCTCCAGCCAGAAGCCAGGGTAGTCTGGGTGCAAGAGTCAGCTTACTGGGGCTGGGAAGGTGGCTCAGTGGTAGAGTGCTTGCCTTGCATGCCTGAAGCCCTGGGTTCGATTCCTCAGCACCACATAAGAAAAAAGCCGGAAGTGGCGTTGTGGCTCAAGTGGTAGAGCACTAGCCTTGAGCTGAAGAGCTGAGGGACAGCACCCAGGCCCAGAGTTCAGGCCCCACAACCGGACCTAAAAAAAAAAAAAAAAAAGAATCAGCTTACTACTGACCGACTTTGGTCTGTGGCAGATGCCTGGTGGAGATTGGGGGTAGGCAGGAGGAAGCCCAGTGTTTCGTCCTTTGCTCTGACCTGGAAAATGTCACCAGTATTAGATGTCCAGCTCTTAGTGGACAGCTCAAGGCTTCTAGCGTATATCCTGTGGCAACTGCCGCAGGCTCTGGTGATGCACTTGATCCTTCTTGCCCGGAGCCTGGGCTGGAAGCTATTTCCTGTTGTAACTCATAGGAAGTGGCCTCATGGCCCCGTTTGGTTTCTCAGCCTCTTCATCATTGGCCATCCATTTCCCCCTGTGCCAAACCCCCAGATTATTTTTTTAATTTAATTTAATTTTATTTGTGAACATACTGTACAGAGGGGTTACAATTACATGGGCAGGATAATGCGTACATTTCTTACCAAGCATTGCAGCCTCCTCCTTTGGTTTACCCTTCACATCCCTTCCCAGCCTCCCTCCTCCCCCCAATCCCAATCCTTCTCCTTCCCCCATTCCCCCACCACCACCAACTTTGTAAAGCTCGTTTTGGACATGACAACTTGTACTTCTCATTGTTGCAACAGGTCCCCAGATGATTTTTCTCTTTTCCTTGTTGGATCCAAAAGGATAACTTCCCTCTCTTGTCTGCCCCTCTTTCTTCGTTTCATGGGAATGAAATAATTTGCAAAGGATAAACAGCAGTGGCCGAAAGACTAATATACAGGTTCTGTTCTGTCTGTGAAGTCAGCCAGAGATCCAGTTGTGTGGAAAGCGCTGCCAGCCTCAGCTCCTGGTTCCCAAGATGCACCTGAGGGGGAGAGGTCAAATTCTCTTTTTTTTTTTTTTGGGTCCTGTCATGGGGCCTGAACTCTGGGCCTGGGCGCTGTCCCTCAGCTCTTCAGCTCAAGGCTAGCACTCTACCACTTGAGCTACAGCACAACTTCTGGCTTTTTTCTTTTTGCTTATGTGGTGCTGAGGAATCGAACCCAGGGCCTCATGCATGCAAGGCAAGCGCTCTACTGCTGAGCCACCTTCCCAGCCCTGGAAATTCTCTTCATTTAGGTGATTCAACCTGGGGAGAAAGGAGACCAGTTGGTCCCTCCCACAGTGCCCCCTACTGGACCTTGAGCTGCTTGAGGAGTACCTGCTATGGAATTCCATCACCAGGTCCTTGTCCCCTAATGGGGGGGGGGCCGGGGGGGGGGGGGGGGGAAGGGGGGAGGAAGGGTAATAGTAAGTGCTCAGTAAATGCTTGTTGAGAAAAGAGACTGTCAGGCACTTCCAGGGGCTCCAATTCCCAACATCAAAATGGGCTTTGGTACATTACAGACCATGGCTGGTATGGCCAATGATCATTGCTATAGGCCAGTGGTTTGTGTTCTGGAAGTCACAAGTTTGTTGAAGCTCTGCCTCCAATTGATGGCTAAAGGAGGTCACTGGGGCTAGGATAGAATTAGTGCCTTGCATGAAGAGATGCCCATGTCTTCTTTCTCTTTGCCACACGTGAATACAGTAAGAAGGCAGCTGACTGCATCCTGGAAGAGACACCCCTCCTCCCCCATAGAGCACTGCCACACTGGCTCCCCAATCTGGGTCTTCTGGTGTCAAGAACTGTGAAATTCCTGTTGTTTAAGTCATACACATAGGCTGTGTTTTGCCACAGAGAAAGGCAGTTCCACCGAGGCTGGTTCAGGTGTCACGGCTCTGCATCTGGTGGGACCGGCAAACCTGGCCAGGGCCTGGTTTGTCATTTCTCTGTCTCATTAGTGGCTCATACTCAAACTGCTTTGCCATAACTTCTGTGTGGTTCTCCACACTGGGATCTGCTTCCTGGCAGGCCGCAGGCCCCCTGAGGAAAACAGGGAGACTCAATCAATTATGAACACTCCGTTCAATGGCGTACACGGCAGCCAGTGAAGTTGCCTTTTTTTTTCTGGTTCTGGGACTTGAACTCTAGATCTGGGCGCTGTCCCTCAGCTCTTTAGCTCAAGGCTAGAGCTCTGCCACTTGAGCCACAGAGCCACTTGTGGTTTTCTGGTGGTTAATTGGAGATAAGAATCTCATGGATTTTCCTGCCTGGGCTGGCTTTGAACCGTGATCCTTAGATCTCAGCCTCCTAAGTAGCTACAGGTGTTGAGGTGCCGGCACTAGACACAAAGTTGGCTTTTTTTCCTTTTTTTGTCAGTCGTGGGGCTTGAACTCTGGGCCTGGGCGCTGTCCCTCAGCTCTTCAGCTCAAGGCCAGCGCTCTACCAAAGTGCCACTTCAGCTTTTTCTGCTTACGTGGTGCTGAGGAATCAAACTCAGGGCCTCGTGCATGCAAGGCAAGTGCTCTACCACTGAGCCACCTTCCCAGCCCTTCAAAGTTGGCTTTTTTTTTTTAAAGGAGCATTGATGACTCCCTTTACATTAAATGAACACCTGATCTAGGAATTGTGTCTTGGGATCAGAGTTGTGTCTCAGTTGTTAGAGTGCTAGTCAATGAGCCCAAATGGCCAAAGGTATTGAGTTCAAGTTCCAGTCTTGGACCAAGAAAAGAAAAAGAACCAACCCTTTGGAGTTGGATATATGGCTCATTTGATAGAGTGCTAGCCAATGAGTACAAGTGGCCATAGGTATTGAGTTTGAGTCCTGGTCTCAAACCAAGAAAAAAGGAAAGAAATTATGTTTTATTTCCTTACCTTTCTCCTTAAGAGGAAGGGTCTTTTAGGACCAGTGCTGGGAACCTGAGACTCCTTGAGGAGGTCACTAGTATTATTATTTGTGCAGGTACTGGGGCTTGAACTCAGGGCCTGGGCTCTGTCCCTGAGCTTTTTCACTCAAGGCTGATCCTCTACTTTTGGCCTTTTGATAGTGAAGTAAGGAGACTGGGTCTCTGCTTCCCCTAGATAACTAGCCCTTGGTTTCCCTTGATTGTTTGCCTAGACAGTTTGCTTTTATTTAACACTTCTTTCAAGTTTAAGTGTCCTCATCTGGTTTGCTTCACTTATGTATAACACGTTTGTTAGGTTTAATTCCTCACACCTTATGTGGTTTTGGTCTATATAAGCTTTGTGCTAACTGCATTTGGGCTGCTGGTCTTTGAGACAGGAGTCCACCAGCACTCCTCCAGCTCTCCACTAAAGGCTCACAATTTGGCCTCTTGAGCATCTGTTTCTCAAGGCCAAGGTTCCTCACAACAGTGGTTAATTGGAAATAAGAGTTTCACAGACTTTTCTGCCCTGGTTGACTTCAAACTTTGATCCCCAGATCTCAGCCGCCTGAGTAGCTAGGGGGGAACTGGTATCCAGTGGATTTTATTATTGAAGGTTAAGGCCTGAATTCCCAGAGGCAGAGAGCTGGAGCGTCTCAGTGCCCCAGCCTGGAGAGGGGGCCTCAGGAATAGGGACAACTTGTGTAGCTGAAGGCGAGGGCCTCTCTCAGGGATCTGAGCTGTGGGAGACCAGGGGTTCCTCCTGAAACTCAGGACCAGGAAAGTCTCTGAGCCTCTATTATACACTAGTCCTGGAACATGGAGACTTGGAGTTGGGCTTAATCTTGTTCAATAAACTTTATGGCGAGCCATTATACACTAGGTCTCACGGACCAGAGAAAACCACAACGGGGTCATTCATGTTAGGTATTATGTAAAGAAACTGAACTTTAGCCGGGCACTGGTGGCTCACGCCTGTAATCCTAGCTACTCAGGAGGCTGAGATCTGAGGATCGCGGTTCAAAGCCAGCCCGGGCAGGAGAGACTGTGAGACTCCTATCTCCAATAAACCACCAGAAAACCGGAAGTGGCGCTGTAGCTCAAGTGGTAGAGCTCTCACCTTGAGCTGAAGAGCTGAGGGACAGCGCCCAGGCCCAGAGTTCAAGCCCCACGACAGACAAAAAAAAAAAAACTGAACTTTGTCTTTCTATGAATTCTCCTCTTATACCATGCATTGTCTTCCTTGTTTCATGCAGTTGTTAATTTGGATTCATTCTGGTGTTTATACATATCCTCTTTAATTTCCTTGAGCATCTTACCCTTTTTTCTTGTTTTGTTCATTAAGATTCGATCCACTTCACCATCATTCAGCTCCTTTATTGTGGAATTGTTGTCTTGTGGGTATTGTTGGCTTTCATATTACTTGTTGGGATTTATGAATCTGAAGCCAACTTTTCGGTTGGATTTTTTTTTTTTTGGTCAGTTGTGGGACTTGAATTCAGAGCCTGGGCACTGTCCCTAAGCTTTTTTGTTC